GATGTCCAATGAGGCCGATCCCTTCTCGGAATGTTACAACGTGAAGACGATGGCAGGGATTGAGTGCTGGCATCCTTACTTCGTAGAACTTGATTCCTCCAGGCCCCTCTCTCTCTGCCTCGACACCAACCATTCGATTGACTCCGAAGTTAGTTACTCCAGTCTATAAGGTAATGCATCATGTCTGTCGATCTTAAACAAGTCCCTCACAGGTCTGAGGGTTGACATACAGGTGCTTCAGGAATGCCTTCAAGACGTCTTTGTAGCCAAGCTATTGTCCGCTTGTCTGAGAGCTCCCATAGCGACGTCGCAATAGACTAGCCGTTTGGCAGACGCTCGTCATTCATCCTCACGACGTGACCGCTCTATAGTACTTGTATCTACCTCAGCATTAGATGAAAACGGAGGATGTCGGTTCTCTCCAAAATCTTAGTGTTTAGAATTTATTCCTGTTACTTCGCTTTCAGGACTCTTAGGAGGCAGCTTAGATAAAAATAGTTCGGTCTTTTTCTTGGTCTTCATGAATAGTCTGCATCTCCGCCCCCGTGCAAGAGCGTTGTCGGACTAACAGCCCAGCACATCCTCGGTGTTGTGTTGAGTAGAATGCCGCGACGGTTCCAGACGGAGTGCTTCGGTCAGTCGAAGTCTTGGCTGACTTTGGAGATCCGACTTACGATTTCGTCGTCGGTCTTGATGTTTCTTGTAATCATACGTCCAAGGTACGCGAACTTCTCCATCGCTGCGCGGTGAGTCCTACTGATACTGATGTGGGATTGGTTGTAGGCAGCATTTGACGCCGGTCGGCACGGGACCACCGTCTCCTTCGTGCCGATGGTCAGGCCAAAGTTGGAGCAGCCGTAGTCGAAAAGGTCCACACTCTGCTGCATGTCCCATTCCGTCACGGTGTTTATCGCGCAGCTGTCCGCATGGCGTTTTTGGAATAAGTTCCTGCTCTAGATGCGTGTTGAAGCGATTGAGTAGAACACGGGCGAGAGACAAGGGAATAAGCGGTGTTGGACAGCCGGTAACGGTGATAACGGTAGTTCAGTTGGCAGAGCACTCACCGCGAATTTTGCAGGTCTGTGATTTGTGTCAATCCGAGGGAGGTCTTCCGTCTGTGTTAGTTTGTAATTCTATGGTGTGCACAATCGAGAGTTGGGTGAGTCACGCAAACGGGATCGTCTCTTCTTACGAATCAAGAATAACAATTAGCAAAGCAAATGACAGGTCATGTGGGCATTTCTTTCAGCCAGTTTTTAAAACTGGTTGAAGAGAGCCGACGTGCATTAAGGGAGAGCTCTGGTGAGACAGCGAACTGTTCCATGCATCTTATTCGATGGCAAGATTCTTTTAAAGCACATCTGTCGAATTAAGAGGCAACACACTGTTTGAGCCCACTTCGAATTTGGAGGAATACGTTGGAACCTGCTGCCTATGGTAAGTTGCATACGACAGCCATCACAACGACTATGAAACGGGCCTAATTTGCTCGTGAGCTGCCACTATGTCACCTTGTTTTAAGTTGGTCTCAGAAGTCACCCTAACGATCCTGACAGTACGGAACGATGAGGATGAATTATGGGAAGCGTCCAATCGAGATGTTTCGAATTCACACCAAATTAACCGACCGTAAAAAGATATCAGTAATCTGCCTAACAGACCAGGTTGGTTTAGTATCGAGACTTTTCAACGAATGATCGATGTGAGGAACAGATTGTCTTCAGACATCGCATAGCCACTTCCATTAATTCGGTCTCTATGCAAGTGGGTGAGTCTTTAGATTCTTTTAGTCGATTTCTACCTGTATGCCTTGGCAGATACTAAAACACAACACTGGACCTTAAAATGAACTCGCTACTCTAGTCAACTGTCGGACGTTTGGGCGAAATTGTACCTCGACAGCAAGATACCTCAGGAATAGGAAGTCTTGCCGATCGGCCATGCCTATGAATTGGTAGTCTGAGCTCTTTCGCCCATAGTTTTAGCCAAAAGAATATTGCGTCAGCTAAAAAAAGACGTTTCCCTAACCAACACCGTTAACGTTTATTATTCCAAATCCACTTATTTCTAAAACTAAGGTTGAACTCCATTTCCCAACGGTGCAGCTAACTTTTCACACTAAAAAGAACACGGTCACCTGAAAACTAACTTTCGTGATTTATTTAAGCTGTTGGTAGTTTTCTTCAATGCAACTTCAGAAGGCAAACTGAGCTTGAACTTAAAGGGGACCAAGTCTTCGCGCACTAGAGCAGGTTGTCTGTTTGTGTCTGACTTTTCAGCCTTTCATGTGCGTCTATTTCTCAAAGCAGGCGCGCAAGTTGTCCGGCCTTGCAGGCAAGGCTACACACGGCTGAGTCAGTACACCCTATCTCATTGTTTCGATTTTGTTTACTGGAGGTGGTGGGTGCGGAGACGGTAGCTAGGACGGGGGGGGGGGAGTGGGACAAAGTATGATCGCCCCCGCCCTGCACGCAGTCAGCCAAGCGTCTAGGCCTGGTGCGCAGATGGGCGACAAGTGTGTCAGCCGCCTAAGGCGTCAGCTCATCAACCTGGCTTGTAAATGTGGGCGGGCGAGGGTAGGAAATTTCCGCCATCCGGAGGACCGTGCTTTTCGCTCTCCACCCCACCGCCAATCGTCACAACAACCTCTTAAAAGCCTGTGGAAAAAACCTACGGCATGGAGTCCACAGGAGCATTTGGGGTGTCTCAAGGGCTGACAAGTCTATTTACGACGAGAGGTGGACCAA